CGGGGGGGGGGGGGCACCCCCAAGGGGCGCCCTGCAGGCTTGTGGGCCCCTGGCAGCTACCGCAACCCAGCCATTGAAGTTTGAATAGCATGACATGCCTATACTGGTACGGCGGCCAAGGACCAGCGTGGTCGCGCTGGAAGGGTTATAGGGAGAACATTCCTTCTCTAGAATTTCAGCAATTTCAATATAGGAATTGTCTATCCAAAAACATAGGAATTGCCCTCTAAAATCCCTATATACGAAGGAATTGTCAATAAAAAACAAGCCCTTACAGGGCTTTTGATTGGGTTTCACAATTTAACTGGTACACAAAACACCGCAAGTCCCTTTGCAGAACTCACATTCATGGTGGTAGAAGCCCAGGATCTCAGTTGATTGCTGCCATGGCTCACCGCCACGCTGCATAGAGCGCATATGGCCAGACCAAACGAGCTGGCTGGTGTTCAGCAAAGGGCATATCGTCAGCTGTGCCCGTGGCAGCAGCCAGATGCAACAATACAAAATTTTCTTGCTCTATGCCACAGCGAGAGGATATTTCAACATGAATATGGCTCAAACCTAATTTTGGCACCAAACTGGAAGGGGTTCCAACCGATTGAAAACAGAAAAATCATCACTCAATACTGCTGAATGGATCCAGGTATTTCAGAGTGCAGTTGACGACTACATATAGGATTGCTGAAAATAGTACCAGAGCATTAGATAGTTTCTACAAGTCAAGCAAGTTGACAACTATGATCGACGGTCATAGTCATTCCTGCAAGAGTCTGTTGGAGTATAATGTCTGGCCCTCTTTCTCAGATCGGTCTTTTGGTTGCATTGGCTAGAGCATGCACTTCTACATGGTATCGGAGCCAAGAGGTCTTGAGTTCAAGACCCGGCTGGCGCAATTATATTGCAGCCCACTTTCGGTCCACGTCAGCTCAATTGGTAAATCAACAATATTAACTTCAGATTTATGAATCTTGTAAATTTTTAAACCAGATCATTTCAGCATCACTAGGAAAACTGTAATTAGAAAATGTGAAATGAGCATGAAAGAGGAAGGTAAATATTAACATATTTTTTATCCAACATCCCCACTAAAGGAAAAATAGTCTGCAGGTAAATATTAACACATGATCTACCTGAAATACAAAACAATAATTTTAAGCTTGTCAAATTATAAATGGACATGCTTCAGCCTAAGTTTTCAGTGTATCTGTTGTCTGTTTCAAACTTGGCCCATGCTATAAGATCAGTAACGTGGCAATAGACACATTGACACTACCAATCTACCGTATAATAATTTATGGGGAGGACAAAAGCAAACTTTTCTTGTATTATTGCTGATTGAAACTCCCCAGTACCCATCACCATTTTATATCTAGTATGCACTAATTAGTTCACTAAATCTGGCGGCAACCATGAAATTAAAGGCCACACAAAAAATAACATTGTTAGTGTCAAAGTGTATCGATCTGTCAAACAAAGAATTATACAGTTTAAAATTGTTGCGTGAAGCCAGCCCGAACGCTCCTACTTCTAGAAGGCCCCTTCTCGGAGACGTGAATCTTGGAGTGCAAATTTCCCGGAGACAAGGAGCAGCGCCGACCCAGCTTCACAAAAACCATAAGTGGGAGTTTCCTCAAAATTGCAGCTAGAAACCTGCCCGAGCAACTGAGCGACCGCGCGTCTCGCTAACCTAGACCAAACTAGGCCAATAAAACCTGGCCTAAGTAGTGACCGAACAGACCTTAGCCTGGCTTCCTGTGTTACTAGCCCATGCATGCGAGGCTGCGGCCAGCCGAGCGATTCGCTACTTCTTCAAGAAGCTAGCTGCATGAATGCAGAGCAGGAGCCAGCGATTTCGGGAAGCCACAGAGCTTCCGAACAGGGCCTTAATAGATACTTTTTTTGTTTCTTTTATGTCGTCTATAAGGTTTATTTGAAGTCAAACCACACAAAGTTGATCCAATTTATAGTAAAAATTATCGACATCTATGATACTAAAGTTATATAGCACGGAAATTAATTTTTGGTGCATCTAATGATATTCATTTCGTATTTTAAACGCTGATATTTTTTTCATGTAAAGTTGGTAAAAAAATTAAAAGCTTAACATCAGAGAAAATTTATATGCAGACTAAAAAAAGGAAAGGAGGGAGTACTAAAACACAACAGCGCCCTTCCCTTCTGTTAAAGAAAAATAGAAAAAGAAAAAGAAAAAGAAAATGGGCTTCCCATTCCCAGTTCCCACCTGGTTTCCCATTCTACCCCGTTCCTCCTCGTGGACGCTCCGCCCCAGCACGCCAAGTCTCCAACCAGCCTGTGCTGCCTTGCGTTGCAAGGAAGAGCAGTTCCCCGCTCTGATATCCATCATCTCGATCTGCTGCTCTTCCTCTCCTCGGCTGCTCCCCCGCTTCGTCTCTCTCCCACCCCGCCGGCTGCCTGGATCGATCCACCGGCGGCTTCCTGCGGAGCAGCGCAGGCCGCAAGGCGCCTCCGAAAATCGGCTCTTCACCCTCCATGTGAGCTCCTCTCACTCCGCAGTTCGCCCAGCCGCCTCTTCTATTTTCCGTTCGCTTGCTGAGATTGATTCGCGGCAGATCTCATGGCCGTGCGCCATTACTTCCGTCGAGCTTGTTAATTACAACGAACATAGCCTTGGCCTTTCGATATAGTTTCGATTTTGGTAGTGCGGTGCTAACGGATGGTTTGTCTTTTGATTCACCCGAAAATTCTCCAGAGAAAAATAATTTGGGAAAGTTCAATTTGCTGCAAATGCCATCAAGAATAGTTGCCCTTGGACCTTAGGTGAAGGAGAAATATCTTTCCTGCTCGCTGGATTTGATTTTTATTAGATCAGCTCAGATTTTTATCTGGCTCAGTGCATACAGTTCCTACCATCCAGGGGTTAATTTAGTTGGAATTTTGTATTAGTTGTGGATTTATGGGCGAGCAGGGGCAGCAGTTCATGAAAGTATTGTACTTCAGTGTTCAATTTCTGGACGCTCAGCCAATATTCAGAAGATTAAAAAGAACTAAATATATAGAATTATTATGACAATCCTTTCAGCGATGGGGACTTGAGTTGAAATACGGTCCATCTCCTGTAATACCAAATAACTAATTAATTGGTGCAAAATACCTGCCTTTGAATTGTTGTTATCTTCACGTACTTCTGCTGGCTTTATCTGAGCTGATCTCTCTTTAGGTTGCTTGATCTCCTCCTGTCTTGGGCCTTCTATTTGTTACTTCTCAAGTTCTGATGCATGTTTATTGAATTGAGATTAATTCTTTACTGATATCAATTAGCGTATCATCCATGTATAGCAACTCATGGACAAGGGTCACCCAGGGTACTCCAAGTACATGATCGACGCTAAGCTCCAGGAGCAGGGGTTCTTTGCTTCCCAGCACTGCGCCAACTGCGGCCATGAGCTCCACCACAAGCCGGTACATATATATTAATTAAGTACAGCTTATCTTGTTCAGCCCTTCAGTGCATGTGTGCACAAATAAATTAAATTCAATCTCTCATGGGATGTTTGTTTCTGGGGTGAATGTCATGTTGCCGCTATCGCAAGAAGGACATGGTTGGGTTTCCTGCCGGTGTCAAGTTCGATCCGACGGACCAGGAGCTGATTGAGCACCTTGAGTCCAAGGTGATGAAGAGAGCTCACTCCCTCATCGATGACTTCATACCCACCATTGAGGGAGAAGATGGCATTTGCTACACCCATCCAGAGAAACTCCCAGGTGAGAATCGAGATCCATAGCCATACAGTACGTACAAAAAGAGATCCATTCAGGTTTTGGTTGAATCAATAACTACTGTACTACCTATTCTCCTATAACTTGAATTATGATCACCTAAACCCTTGTATATTTCTTTATCGAAACAAACTATGTGTACTTGATCACCAGGTGTGACCAGAAATGGCCAGAGCAAACACTTTTTCCACAGACCATCAAAGGCCTACACCACAGGCACGAGGAAGAGGAGAAAGATCCACGCAGAGACTGAGTTATCCAACAGTAAAAATGGTGCCGAGACGCGGTGGCACAAGACTGGCAAGACACGGCCGCTGATGGTGGGCGGACAGCACAAGGGGTGCAAGAAGATCCTAGTCTTGTACATCAACTTCGGCAAGACACGAAAAGCAGAGAAGACTAATTGGGTGATGCACCAGTACCACCTCGGCGACCTAGAGGACGAGAAGGAAGGGGAGTTGATTGTATCAAAGGTCTTCTATCAGACACAGCCACGGCAGACTGCCGCTGCCACGACATCGACAGTATTGCGTGAGCCTTCAACTAACGGCAATATGGAGGTAAAGATGCCAAAGTCAATGAAGATTGGGCTCACTGATCATGCGGTTGCCGCTGCGGCTGCCATCCAGATGCAGCGACAGCAGCAGCAATTGCTGAAGCAAGGTGATGAGGTAACTTACCTAGGTAGCTATACTCAAATCCTGATAATTAATTGAGCAGTTAATTATAGAGAAAGGTATATGTTTTCACCCCTTAAGGTTTATGCAAAGTAGACATTTGCTGGTTAATTCATGCGCTAGCTGATTAATTCCTAAGTACCCAAACATAGCCTTACTTATCAAAGAACCCTGATTCTTTAGTAGTAAACAGTAAATGATGCAGTATAAACTGTTGTAAATCTAAACAGTAAATTATGCAGTACGTAGCGATGCCACTTTTGTGTAGTTTAAATGAAATGATGTAATATTTCTCTTTACCGTTCTTATTGCCATGCTTGTCGATAAATAAATATGGTTGTGTGCATCTCAATAATGCAGAGGCCGACAGATGTCCTCCTTTAAAAAAAATTGCCTTATCTTTATCTTTATAAAGTATAATTCTGTCATTTCGTTTCAAGATGAAAAAGGGAAAGGAGGGGCAGGACCAGCTGCAGCAGAAATTTGACCACAGGCCTGCTGGCTTGGAAGGACTAATAATGGCCTGCAAATCAGCAAGTACAAAAGAAGTTAGTTTTCTGATCAAAGGTCTTGTGAAATTTTGAAAGCGACATTTGCTCGATTGTTTGCGTATGAACCTTGTAGATACTTTTATATCAGGATGTCGAGAGGAAGGAAGAGAAATTGTATCACAATGTCCAAAGTACCAACATCCCATTTTATTTATAAACAAAAAAGTTAGTATTCATTGCCACAACAATATGAGCATGGGCTTTTTATTTATATTGTTGCTTCACTCCCCAATTAACCCCTTCTAGATAATATTGATAATTGTAATTTTATTCTGTCCTGGGAAGGGGAATAAGAATATATTTTGTTATTCTGATTAATTATGTGCGGGATTAGTGGATTGTCTTGTTGACAACGCAACCATTGTACACACCATATAGTTACTTTGCTTGTTTGCTCATATTTCTCTGAAACTGTCCAAAACTGTCCAGTTGAAGCTTTCAAGTGTGGAAAGAGTTAACAGAATAAATATTCATTTTATTTTAAAACCGCAGAACCACTGTACTTAACCTTAATCATGTCATTTATTTTAGGACGACTAATCATGTTCTGATATGGAACTTGCATTTGTTGGTAGGTACTAATAAGTACACATGTGTATCGTTCGAAGGGTACAATATTTGCAAAGTCTTTGTATTGCGATATTTCTATCGCCACTGAACGCATGATCTTTCAATCCATTTCAACGTTGTGGCACTTGTCTTCAGTTTAGGTGCACATCTTTATAACTGTTTCTACTATATGGCACAGGGAACTTCAACTACTCAGCCCGAAGATGAGCAATGGCCTTACCAGTACTAGCCGCCTGACAAGTGATAACCAAGATCAGCATCGGTAACATGGCAGTAAAACACTCATTAATTATAAAGGACTCCGTAAGTACATCATTCATTTATGTCAGAACTAGTTAACTGCAATTTGCAGAACCGAGAACTGTATGTGAATCAGAGGTCCAAGACGGGGTAGAGGATAGTGAGACACGGACGAAACTTAGGGGAAGCCCTTGGTGTTGCAAAGCAAAGATGAGGAAAAGTTGTATTCTCGTGCTGAGTTCAGGTAGGCTGACCTACCTGAGAAATCTGAATATGATTTTCTCAGGGAAATGGAATCTATATGGTCGAACGCACCATAGGTGAAGATGAAATCAACATCACAAGTTATTTAGATGCATGCTAAGATTTTCTGAACTGTACACAAAGTAGTACTCGTATAGGCTATGTGGGTCTATATGCCATTTGTTGCTATGAATAGTTGCCATTTTCTTTTCATATTTCTGTAGTTGATAACTATTTGTACTAGTGCGTCTGCTACTCCAGCTTTCTGGAGTGGGCGGCGGCGGCGCCTACATCGTAACCTCCTTGGAGGCGTCGCTTTGGAGGTTCATCTTTTGGCTGTTGTGTGGAGTTCTCCCACCGTCATGGGTGGCGTACGTCGGGGTAGCGGCTCCGGGATCTTTGTTGTAAGCCGAGATGGTGGTTTCGGGTAGCAGTGCGGCGGCAACTCCATGAGGAAGGGTTGATGGGGTTGTCCGTGTATCTGACATCCACGCTTCCGAATTCTATCTTTCAGCGACGGGCCATGTGCTTCTTTCTGATCCGTCCTTCAAGATCACTTAGTGTCTACGGACCCACGGCCGCCAACAGGAAGGACGACTTCTTCAACGAGTTGATCGCGCAAAAGCCTCCTAGTGAACTAAATGGATCGCCATGGATGACTTCAACCAAATTTACTGAGCTCGCGATAAGAACAAACGAAGTTGTTAACCGCACCCGCATCAACCGCTTCTGGGCTACCCTTACTCCTGCGAACTCAAAGAGATTTTTTTAGAGAAAAGGCGCTGGCCGAGCCTGAAGAGAGCTCAAACCTAGCCCGACTTTGAATTAACAAAGTCATCAACCGGCCAGGATTATAAAGGCACCACATTACAAAGGGGACGAATGCAAAGCAAAGCGGAAAGAAGATACAAGGTACTAGGCAGAACAGCACAATGGCAACAACAGAGCACCGTTGCCGACGACCAGCACTACGCGTACACCAACTAGCCAACTAGGTACTCGGGAGGAGGGACACGCCGTGCAAGCATTGAGCGCCGGCTACATCCTCGGCCAAACTTGGGCAACACTTGAGTTGTCTCCACCGTCGCAAAGGGCCACTACCCTTTCACCCAGGTTCAATGAGTGCCGCACCGGCGACCAGAGTGGCTACACATAGCCCAGCTCAAGGTGACCGACCTGCCAAAGGAGAAGCAGACAACGCTGGCCCACGAGCAATGGAAGGCCAACCCGACGAGAACCAAAGTCGGTAGAGGCAGTACGGAGCATGGGGCACGAGCTGTCGGACGAAGGCGCGCAACCATGACGAAGACCAAAGATGCTTCACAACGCAAGGGCAAAACCGAGCATGAAGAGCAGGACAGCCAGGCCGCCATGCTTCGGAGCCAAGACACCGACCGCTCCACCACCAAGAGCAAATCCCGACCGCTGCCTTCAAGAAGGTGCACATCGCCGAGGTGTCGTCGACGCCCAGACCAGGGGAGAACCGGTTTTCGCCGGAGCTCAGGGAGGAGGCGGAAGGGGGAGGGTCCACCCCAGAGCCTCCAAGGAGGGGATTGGTGCCATAGACGTCGACTTTGGGGGGCCGCCGCGCCGGCCAGGGGGTTCCCCCGGAACCACACCCAAACGCCAGATCCGGCCATCTGGCACCACGGGACGATGGACACCGTCGCCAGGGACCAATGCCAGCATGGATCAGAGCAGATCGGGCCGACACTGAAGCTTCACTAAGGTGCCCGGCGGACTGCGAGGAGTCGCCGCTGCGCCTTCGACCGCGACCTCCACGCTGCCCATGTAGTCATGGGAGGCCACCCACCAGCACCCGCCGGCGCCGCCCGTCACTCAGGCCGCGCCGCACGCCATCGACTGGGGCCGCCGCCCTGGGAATCGCGGCCCTCCATCCGAGGAGGAGGCGCCAGATCCCTGCCGCCACCATCATCAGGGACACGCGCCGAGCGTCGGGAGCCCTTTGGCAGTGGCGGAGAGGAGGAAGAGGGAGGGGGAACCGCGGTGGCGGTGCTAGGGTTGCCCCCGAGTTGCCTCAGAGGAGATTCACCTTTAGAAGAGACACTTCACTTGAAGCAACGACAGGCTTAACCCCACCTTGTGCAAACTTGACCCGGTCTTCTACAACACTGATTGGGACATGCATTTTGGATCCCAGGTGCTTCTCGCTTTGTCTTCAGTGTTATCGGATCATTGCCCTCTCCTCCAAGCTGATGACAAAGGGCCCAAGGGACAGATGCTTCAAATTCGAGAACTTTTGGTCGTGTCTCCCACGCTTCTTTGACGTTGTTTCAAAGGCCTAGGAGGAGCCTTGCGATCACAGCGCCTTATCAGCGGCCATTCCATAAGCTGAAGCATACGGAGTGGAATCTTGGGAGATGGAGCAAGGGGATCTTCTCCAAGGCAAAGTTGCATCTTCATGCCATCCTCCTCGTCATCCTCCGCATGGACATTTCTCAAGACTCTCGTCATGCCGTGTCATCAGCATTGCTGCGGTTGAGCATGCGCGCAAGAAGATATGCACTCGCATTGCAAAACATTAAGAAGGATGACGCCAATACCAAATTCTTCCACCTCAGAGTCAACGGGAGACATATAAATAACCACATTCTCAGGCTGAAGAGGAACAACGCCACAGATCATCTTAACCTAATAATAAAATCATTAGTGCTTCTGTTCGTACGTCATTAAACTACCCTTGAAGCTGACAAAAATTATCCACCCATGACACCCGTAAGGGGAAAAAAGAATTCGTTTTTTACTTAAGTCAGCGCATGTCGCGTTTAGTTCATATACATCAAGCCCTTACAAATCACAAGTGAACAATAACCCGACTGGTCGGAGCCATTCTCTTCTACTGAGGAGACCTGAGTTTGATTCCTGCTACTCCATTTTCCTGTCTTTTATTCTCTGAATTCCAGTTGGCGTAAGAGAGAACTGTCTCGCCCAAGGGTCGTTAGTAGATGGGTTGCACAGTGTTGTAATTCGGCCCAGCTACTCTCTATTTTTTTGCAGATTCAAGTACTTTTTAAAATATTCATATCTTTCAAACATTAACACAAAATTAACATGTTATATATGGAAATCGCTCAGAAAAATGTGTAGAATCTAACATGCTATTATCTTGCATGTTAATCATTAAAAAAATACTTTTCCTTATATGGGGTATTTTCAAAATGGCTATTATATATGTTTCCTACCCATTTAAGTTGAATAGAGAGCCTTGGCTCAGTGGTTGGGCATGCGGTTGTGCAGCCTAACGACCCGAGTTTAATTCCTAGAATTGACAGGTGATGCACACGAGTTTTCCTCAATTTATTGAGGATCAAGTTTGGTGTGTGGTGGAACCACTCATTGAAAAATATCTTCATACTCATTTAAAAAATTCCGAGGACCATGTTTATCTTGGTACTCATACTAAAATGACCGTATGCATCCCTAGTTGGTGCAAAGGCCGGGGAAGTGAAATTCTCCCTCATTTTTAGGTCTTGGGATTGAAAATCTTGAAGTCAAGAACAAATGTCTTCTCAGTAAGTGGCTATATAAATTATCTGTTGAGACTGAGGCCACATGGACGCAGATTCTCCGTAGTAAGTATCTTCAATCCAAAACATTGTCCCAGGTGATAGCGAAGCCGCTGGATTCGCCTTTTTGGAAATGGCTCATGAGAGCTAAAGCAACCTTTTTCAATAGGACACAGTTTATTGTCGGAAATGGCGCGAGCACGAGATTCTGGGAGGATACTTGGCTAGGAGAGACACCCCTTGCACTTCAATACCTGTCTCTTTATAGTATTGTTCAACGACGCGAGGCTTACGTTGCAACAGTACTCCAGTCCGTCCCCCTTAATATTCAATTCAGAAGGACGCTAGTCGGCAATCGTTGGTAAGCGTGGCTCCATCTAGTGAGTAGACTGATATAGGTTCAGCTGTCTCAACAGCCCGATAAGTTGCGCTGGAAGCTTACTAGGACCGGAGAGTTTACACTTAAATCAATGTATCTTGATGTTGTAGCTCCATTCCCAGTTCTAGATATGTCTGAAAAGTCAAGGTTCCGTTGAAAATCAAAGTGTTTATGTGGTTTGTACATAAACAAGTCATCTTAACTAAAGACAATCTGGCAAAGCGTAACTGGACAGGACCTACTAGGTGTAGCTTTTGTGATCGGGATGAAACTATCAAACACCACTTTCTGGATTGCCCGTTGGCAAATGTTCTATGGCGGACGGTGCACATAGCTTTTAACATTAATCCTCCCAACTCCGTCAGCTCGTTATTTGGAACGTGGCTCAACGGGATAGAGTTTGAAACAGCGAGCCACATGCGCGTAGGAGTATGTGCATTATTGTGAGCTCTGTGGAATTGTAGAAATAATTTCGTCTTCAACAGAACATCAAATATTCATTTTTTGCAGGTTATCTTCCGGGCCACTGCATTGATCTGTATGTGGTCGCTACTCACTCCGACGGAGGCCAGGAATCGTTTGGTTACTGGATCTATCCGGTGAGAGATGGTAGCACGGGATATATTCAACCGGTTTGGATGGCGGTCATGTAATAGGATAGGCAATTAGTTTTCCTATATTTTTGTGCCAGCCAATTGTGGCTTTTGTGGCCGTTTTCATTGGCTCTTTGTGAGCTTTTATTTATTTTTTTCGAGACTGCAAGACATTGTTGAACTTATTTGCTTTTTATAAAGGTGGCCGTATGCATCGTTCTATGCATAGGCCGGGGAGCTCCCCCTTTTCAATTTTTTAAAGTTGAATAGACAGGATAATTTAATGATCTCACAAAATCTATTATTGGTACAATAGGGAATGTTCATTTCTACCCATTTAGAATTCCTAGCTAGCTTTTGTTCCCTTTTAAAGAAAAAAAACTACTTGCCAGCTTTTGTTCTTTTTGAAGGAAAAACTACTAGCTGACTTAGTGCTATATATGTACATGTAGAAACATATGTCTCACATCATTGTGTACAATGGGTTGGTTGCCGCTGTTACATCCTAGCGCCCACCAATGTGAAGCAGTTGATGGTCGGCTACAAAAGACATGGACTGAAAATGAGCAATGTTGGATTCGGGGGGCAAGGGAGCTAGGGTCTGGAGTTCGCATGAGTCGCGACATCAGGCGGTGATTGGAAGGGGAGGAGATCTTGACTAGATATCTATCCCCATCTCGCCTAACACAAACAAGCATGTTTTGCTTGCTGCCACTGTACTCGAGATTAATCTACTTGATGTTATTGTTACTTTTTAACTTGTTCATAATATTATTTATTTCTGATTTTTTATTAAATTTAGCTCATGACATGATATCCAAATTTATTAATAATGTTATTCCATAAAATTTTACTTTAAAACTCAGAATGAACTAATAAGCTGAATTAAGTTGACTCGGGACCACATCTCATGTTCCAAATTGACATCATTCCAAATTGACATTCTTAAAAAGCCTACCCTCAATTGATTCATTGTTCGACATGTTTTTCGTTGTTTTTCAAGGCCATCGTCCATGCCGAATGACCATTGGTTGTGATGTTAAAGCAGAGGGTGTGGACTTGTGAAGGGTCATGAGAATGCTTATCACATTACAGACATGTGTTATTGTTTGATCTCCCCTTGCAATGCACGGGCATGTTTGGTAGTAAAACCAAAGAGGAGATCATTCATGACCACTTCGCGGGCATCTTGGGTAGAGGTCAACCCAAACCAAGATATTTCAACTGGGAAAACCTCAATTTGAGGGTGGTTGATCTTAGCATTGATGCCGCC